CCTGTTCTTGTCTCTAATATGTCTCTGACTAGACTTTCATACCTAAGAAGGCTATTTCTTATTGACTCCCCTGTTCTCCTATTCTTTTTAATACCTCTTCATTTCTAACCTTCTCTATCCGCGGTATCCTCATCATTCGCCTGTAACACCACTTATCTTTATAGCAATAAGTTATTTCGATGTTATACCCCTCTGTATAGTACTATTTTCACATTTCTCTATCTTCTTTTATAATTTCATTAACAACGGTTGTTAGATGATTTTGTTGTGTGCAGCTTGTCAACATGTGGTCTCTGCCTTTCTCATTCTTATGAATAATAGAACAGTTCATTCTAAGTGCAAACATCTTTTCGTTCTGAAAATATAACAAATCTGTTTTGTATTTTGTATTATTGTACCCTTCACGTTCCGTATAAAAACTCAATTTTTATTCCAATCTTACTATCATGCTGATTGCTGAGATAGATCTACATCAATTTTGTAGTTTGGACTTAAAATACTGTTTGTGCCTACATTTGATTTTTCTTACCATTTTGTTTTTTTTTAATTTAGAACCTTATAGCGGCATAGAAATATATTTTTGCATTGTAGAAGTTCATTCCTACATATGAAGGCATTGACGTTACTGGATTTTACCAAAATGTTGATAAAAATAAATTCGGACATGTGCATACATTATAAAGAATCTTGGATACCTTTTTGCTCTGAGAACAGGTGTTTTATTAGAAGGTTTTAACATTATTTGCATACTTGACATCCGGATAATGTCCACCATTATGTAAAATTAGTAAGCTGAAAAGACGCTATGTTGGCCTTGATATCTCCGTTATATACACATAAAACAGCATAAGGACTTATAATATTAATAATATTCAAATAAAAATAAAACTTTGGTTTTTATTCAAGACCAGATTTGGATATAGATTGTGGCTAAACTGATTTTAATTTTGGAAAAAAGACATCCACGGATTAATATTGGGGCAATTGATTTATTCCACCTCATTCTTTTTTTTTTAAATCTGTTAAAAATGTTAGAAGCGTTCTAAATGTTGTAATACTGGTGAATGAAGAGGATACCGTGGATAGAGAAGGTTAGAAATAAAGAGGTATTAGAAAGAATAGGAGAACAGAGGACCCTATGGAAGTCAATAAGAAATAGGCGGGATAGGTTGGTAGGACAACTTCTCGGGCATGAAGGTTTAGTCAGAGATATATTAGAGGCAGAAATAGAAGTTAAGAGGAGGTAGACCTAGATTAGATTACTGTTCGCAAATAGTTAGGGATGTTGGTTATTCTAGTTTTAGGTAAATGAGAAACTTAGCTGAGGATACGAAAAAGAGTGGAAGTACGTGTCCAACCAGTCTTAGGACTGACGACCTTATGATGATGACAATGCTCTAAATAAACATTTTTATTATACAGTTAGAAAAGTACAAAAAATGAATACCAATACGTATATAATTTTGTCTCTTATTGGGATAATAATACAGGGCTGTTGTTTCGTGATAATATAATATAACAACCTCTGTTTTGATCATCCTTTAGCTCATTAAATGTTATGAATCCAAAATTAAGTGCAGATTCGCTCAATACCGTCATTGTTGGAAGTGCACCACAAAGCAAGAGCTAATTGCAATCAAGCAGCTGCTTTACGTTACCAATCCATCATAAAGCATTTGATTTAACTGTGTTAAGCATTTGAGAAAATGACCCTTATTTACTGGAAATTCATGTGTACCTTGTTTCACAGAAATACAGCCAAACATAGCTGAAAGATTTGTGTGGGCATATGACATACGAAACGTACTCTATATTATGTCACAATGGACATATAAATGAGAATATATGTCATACAAAAATATTTACGACTAATGTCTATTCTGCATAAAACGATAGAACCTACAATTCTTTGCGCAGCTCAAAACTCAAAAATATCGAGTTCATCATTGTACTGTCCACTTGACTAAAAAGACAAGGATGTCTTTTGTGGATTTATATTACGTATTAGAGATATTGTCGCATTTTTATAATTATTCATCGACAATAGGCACATGTTCTCTTTTCTGCTTCCTTATATTACAAAAGGCAAATATGATGCAACGTATGTCACAAGCATATCATGTTGGTCAAGAGTTGGCTCCAGTGAAAACGATGCAGTCCACAAATCTCGAGCGTAGCCTGTATGGTATTTGATAAACGAACTTCAGTCAGTATCGATCGGATTGTTTCGTACAAATTATGCTGTTGAAGTGCACGCAATCTTATAGTTATAATACAATATATTGATATGCGTCTCACTATAAAATAATGTCCTAATTTAGTAATACTAATAATGTACATATGGTTCATAGCGTTCGTACATTTGTGATGGAGTGATCTTCATAAATCGTGATGTTCTGAATATGTATGGTTCTACTTGTAGTTATCAAGCACCTCATCTAACAGCTTTCTGAAATTACCTAGCTATTAAGGATCGATGAACTGTCTTAAGCCTACCTTCAATATCCAGGATGTTGTTGTTTAGTCGAAATTTTTGATTAAAATTCACTGTATGCCAAAATAAAAACTGCTATATGCACTATTGACATCGGTATCCATCCGTCCAAATTTGAACGGCTTCAATTAGTGATGAATATTGGTATAATTTTTGATTCAGGACGAAACGTCGGTCGCATAAAAATTAATATGAAGAATTAGAAGTTTATATAGGTTTTCACGGCTGTCATCTGAAGCAGCTGGATTTCCGGATTCTAACCGCGTTTTACTGATAAAATCCCCATGTAGGACCATAGTGTTGTCAAAACTGTCCGACGTTTCGTCTCCTACCACAACGGAGATCTTCAGGAGTTTCAAGTTGTCGTTGCAGGATCTCCGCTCTGGTGCTGAACTGATGTGATGGATTTACTTGTTTCACCAATGTAGTCCATTCGACTGAAACATGGTACCCGGTAGACTCCCTCAGATTCCAGCGGAATAACATCCTTCACCTCATCTAGCTGGTATCTTTACCACAAGTGTTGAAGATTGTGCTGACGCCTTCCTTGTGCAGAATTTATTCAATTTTGTTCGTGATTCCTGTAATGAATGGACTTTGACTTTTATTCTTTTTATATTGTGCGATTCACATTCACGCCTCTGGTACCCATTAGAGATAAGTATGTCAGTGACAAAACGAAGTTCCCCGTCTAAAGATTCTGGTTCACAAATAGCGAAGGTCCTATGCACCAAGGAGTTTTTTTCTGCGCCAGATAATGATGATGAGAGTTAGTTGGCATTGCGATATTTATTGGTGGGGGTAGACTTCCGGTGGACAGTGTATCCCAGGGTGTCATTTCATCGACGAGACACCATAACATCTAGGAACGCTAGTTTTCCTTCGTGTTCCTGTTTCATTGTAAACTTGATAATTGGATGATATGAATTGAGGATTTGTAGGAACTCTTCTAGTTTCTCAGCTTCATGCCGTGGCACGACGAAATGTCCTCTGCGTATCTAAATTTCACTGGACTTATTTTCGTTTTATATCTGAAANCAGTTAGATCAACCGAAATATTACCTTTAATTTTCATTTTTAATTGAAAAAAAAAACGTAATCATTCAAAACGTTATACATTATTTTTGTTGCAATAATTTCGTTTTCCTTGCAAAGGTAATATCAGTGAATAATAAATATGAAAGCGCTGTAGGTACTAACTTTAAAGGTTATTAAAATGTTAGAAATATTAGAATCAAATTAAAAGTTACTGCTTTCGTATTTCATGTTTTTCTTTGAAAAACTTATTTTCGTCGATTTAAATGTATCTATGTGTATCTGCAAAGCTTAATGAAATATGCACTTAATTTTTCAATTTAGTTGGTTAATTATAATTTATTGAGTAATTACTCATCTATGCTTAAAGAATTAACCAAACAGAAGCTGCAAAAAGAAATAGGCGAATTGAAATTAGTCATTCAAACAATCTTTGGCTTTCGGTTCTAGCAAAGTATTAAGCGAATAGGTTAACACAAAATGTTGCTTTCGCAATTGAACTCATACCGCGTAAGATTTTGGTTTGTTGCAAGCTCCAATATTATTTTATTCTACAATTAAAAAGAAATTCATTCGTTCATTAATTTGTGCTCAATAGTATTCAATGCTTACAGACGATACGTAAATGGAGATCGGGTAAAGGGCAACAATTCGATTAAATTTTAAACAGTGACGTCTTTTTGGCAAGCATGTTAATTTTTAAATATGCATGTATAATCAATATACTTACTAATGTACCTATCTGCATCTTTTGTCTACTTGCAATGCGATTTTTAGTGATAAACTCACCTCTGGGGTAGTCTAGATGCGACTATATTTTAATGCAGGGCCATAGCCAGGGATACGCCAAGGAAAGGTGAACCTGCCCCGAAAAGTTTTGAGCCTACCCCAGCATTTATTTATTTTATACGTTTCATATGTAATAGTTAAAAGATACCCGTAGGAAAAATTTTTATTCAATTTCCATTAAAAAAACGCCATTTAATTACCACTGAAAATAATTAATGGTAATAAATGGAGAATTGCCAATGGGATTCCCATTCCCGAACTCAATGGGATTTCCATTGCTGAACGCAATGGCATTACCATTTCTGAACGCAATGGAAATTCCATTACGTTCCGTTGGAACTTCATCAGCATGCTTTTTTCCATAACCCATATTATTTTGTTGAGAATTTGGTTCTTCAGGTACCTGAACCAAGGCACGTGCCTGTATGTTTGGCTCTTCATCATTGTGTTTATATTATTTTTTCACTTGCTTCTGATAAAACTACATCACTCTCACAGATGACTTCGGCCTCCTATATATTCTGGCATGGTTGAAAATCATCAAACAATGCTTCTAATGTAGGCTTTTTTACTTGTCTAGGGGTTGTTTAATAAAAAAAACAATTATTTTTCCATTTATGCCAAATGGTTTTGAATGGAATTTATAAATTTTCCATTGATTCCCATTGAACTGCAATGAAAATTTTTCCTACGGGTATTGACATCGAATTTACGTATTACATGTAAGTTATCATATGTTTATCTTTTACAGTTCGTTTTTGTTGCTTTCTTCGCCCTCGCTTACGGTGCCCCAGCCCCCGAGGCGAAAGCTGATCCAGAACCAAAGGCCGCACCCGCACCAGAACCCAAACCAGGAGTCGCCATTGCGGCCGCTGCTCCTCTGTTTTCAACATACAGCGCTCCACTACTTGCAGGCCCATCATATTCGTACGCTTATTCGTCTTATGTCGCCGCTCCCCTTGCCTATTCTGCAGCTTACGCTTATCCCGCCGCATACTCTGCACCCATTGTTTATGCTTAGATGGCGATTTAACTTCATCACTTCAAATGATTTTGAATTGATTCCAGTGACTGTCACTTCAATGGTTGTGCTAAATAAAATTGTTTATTGAAATTAGTAATTGTTGTTCTTTATTCTAATTCCATTTCCCTTTTAGTTTTTCAAATTTGTTCACTCTTTTTTCAGTTACAATGTATAAGGACTTATAATATTAATAATATTCAAATAAAAATAAAACTTTGGTTTTTATTCAAGACCAGATTTGGATATAGATTGTGGCTAAACTGATTTTAATTTTGGAAAAAAGACATCCACGGATTAATATNATGGTTGTGCTAAATAAAATTGTTTATTGAAATTAGTAATTGTTGTTCTTTATTCTAATTCCATTTCCCTTTTAGTTTTTCAAATTTGTTCACTCTTTTTTCAGTTACAATGTATAAGGACTTATAATATTAATAATATTCAAATAAAAATAAAACTTTGGTTTTTATTCAAGACCAGATTTGGATATAGATTGTGGCTAAACTGATTTTAATTTTGGAAAAAAGACATCCACGGATTAATATTGGGGCAATTGATTTATTCCACCTCATTCTTTTTTTTTTAAATCTGTTAAAAATGTTAGAAGCGTTCTAAATGTTGTAATACTGGTGAATGAAGAGGATACCGTGGATAGAGAAGGTTAGAAATAAAGAGGTATTAGAAAGAATAGGAGAACAGAGGACCCTATGGAAGTCAATAAGAAATAGGCGGGATAGGTTGGTAGGACAACTTCTCGGGCATGAAGGTTTAGTCAGAGATATATTAGAGGCAGAAATAGAAGTTAAGAGGAGGTAGACCTAGATTAGATTACTGTTCGCAGATATTTAAGGATGTGGGATGTTCTAGTTTTAGGGAAATGCTAGAACTGATGCCCTTATGATGATGATGGACAGATTTAAATAGCAAGCAGTACTTTAAGTACATCATCGTCATTTTTCAACCCTTTCTATCTTGACTCAATCGTACCATTTTCGGAAATATTGAGTAACTTTCATCTCTTACTGTTTGCGAGCTGTTTTCTATGGCTACGCATGTGCTCCTGTGTCTTCTAAACCCAAATTGATTTCCCTTAAACTTTCTTCCGTCCCTTTTCTTACCTTTCTCTATAGGTTAGTATCACCTTAAATAAAAAAAACACAACCATAGAAAATATTTTTATGATGTATGATTAAAGTATTTTTTAAAACTTCAAAATCTATTAGAATCAGTGTAATGATTGTAATCACATCTTCCCTATTACTCCATTAAGAACCGTTATGATTTCTGAATATATACTTTTCCAAACAAATAGAAATTTTAAATCCAATTTCAACATTTCTTCCTAAGGAAGCAAACGAACCATTCGCCATGGATACCCTTCGAAATATTCCGTATTCATGTAGTTATTCTCAGGCAGATTTAAATTTGAATATTTCTTTTATGGTAATATTGTTAAAGTCCAAAATTTTAGTTTTAAAGTGCTTACAAGTAAGTATGTTAAAGTTCAACAAAAAGAAGATTCTACAGATATAAAAAGAGAATCATATAATTTTGTTTCAATTCTTAATATAATGAAATTAGCTAATATATTTATTTACTCCATGAAAAAGTGTTGATGGTGCATAGTATTAGGTATGGGTCGATGGTACCTCCTACTTTTCCTTGAATTTCTTTTTAGGAAATCGTACAACACTCACAATAACAACGACTTACATTATATTTATATAACCACAGTCTTCAACAGCGTAGGTAGGTTATGAAATTTGAACTAATTCAATGGACAATAATACGTCTTTGTGAAAACTGCACAATGTAACCTACTTAAAATTAATCAAGAATTGTTTCGTTATGCACATACGCATCCATAGCACGTGAGCAGATTAATAAAAACCTGATAGTTTCACTTTTGTGTAATGCATAATACAAATCGGTACTAAAAAATAGCAGGTCGTAAAACAGAAGGTTATATCAGTAAAAAATGTGATAGGCTGTATATTTATTGTATAACTTCGTTTTTGGTTATTTGCTTGTTTTGAAGGACCTCGGTTGAGTGTTGTTCTAGTTTTAGACAATGAATACTGAATTTTTTTAAGTCATATTCCTATAAGTAACATAGGCAATTGTTCGAAATTAACGAGTAATTGAAATGTGTAATTTGTATGTTCGGTGAACATTTTTCCTTACCTATATAGAGCACCAGCAATATAATGACAGTGATAAACACTGAAATCCTTAGATTTTGTGCAGTAAACCGGATAGAGATGCGGTTTTTTCCATTCAATTCGTAAAACCGTCTACAAATTTTATTAATATAAGAGATCATTTCATCTTCAAAAATGCATCGGTGCATCAAAAATGTGCCAATTATTCATCATCATCATAAGGTCGTCAGTCCTAAGGTTGGACACGTACCTCCACTCTTTCCTATCCTGATCTAAAGTTCGCATTTTTCGAAAATTAGAACATCCCACATCCTTAACTATTTGTGAACAGTAACCTAATTTAAGTCAACCTCTACCCTTCCTAACACCTGTTTCTGCCTCTTTCATATACGTTTTTCTTGAAAACGGTAGACTTTTAGACCACCAAACATAATTCAATTTTCTTGTTTTACAGTACCCTATCATCTTCTGCAGGCTTGTTACTTATTTCGGAACACCCTGTATAATTAAAATACTCTTCTCCTACCTAATTTACAGTAACCATATAAAATGACCTTAAAATAGCCTCCTTAATAAAAACACCACATAATCTTGCATTAAGCAAAAAATCATGGGTAATATGACGTTGTATAGTTTTTTTTTTACGTTCTGGCGGGTTAAAAAGTTAATGCCAGTATATGGACCAGAACCTTCGATGAATTAGCCTTAGCTTACCTAGGTCTACCTGCAGCTATTTCTCTGTATGTAATATAAAATATTGTCCAATTTAGAAAATTTTATTGTAAACGCCTCATTCTGTTCATACATGGTTCAGTTTACACTTATTTAGATATATTAAAAAATTAAGTTTTAGGATTACTTTTAATGTTTTACTAAATCTATCTGGATAAATTATCGCATATGTAGATACCTACTAAATGCAGTTTAGCTTCTTTGAGTGTTTTACATTTTCAGTTAGTCTAAAAACAAAACAAAACAATGAGATAAGTTACGTAATTTTATTTAGGATAAGAAGTAAAGCAAACAATTACAATGTGAACATTCTCCACTTTAGGGATGCTAAAATGCTTCTGATCTCATAAAATACAGTTATGTATGTATAACATGCAGTAAAGACGCTGAAATTATTTACAACTTTTCAGCGAAATAACATCTAGATGCCATACATGTATAGGCTGTGTCTTAAATAAGTAGCAAACTTTGAAGGGTATTAACTAGATGCAATAGGTAATTGCATGGTGAGTCAAGCAACGACAAAAATTTTTGTAAGAAATTCAGACGAAGTTGCAATACGAAGCCAGCTCTGGGCGTGAATTGACAACGTATGGAGAAATATATATAACAACAACTACATGGATGAAAAATGTAAACAATGACAGTTGTGGAACGGCTGGAAAATAAATATCAGCAGCTTATTACTGCGCTATTACCTATATAAAGTAACAATTAATTAAATAATTGCTTTGTTGATCGTTGATAATTTGCAGTACTATTAAACTACATCTCGACATAGTATTGTGAACATAAAAGAAAGCAAAAATTAACGTTATGTAAACAGTAACAGGTAAGTTAATATCTTCTGGATATGTAACAATAATTTTATTAAATTTCCAAACTACCATTGAGGTATTGCCAACATACGTTACCTTTTTTAATGGGTGGTTCGTCAATAGTTCTATCCTCCCTTTAGTTAAAATTATTTACAATACCAAAATCGACCGCCATTTGGCGTAATCTGACGTTTGATACATGCGCTGCTTCATACAACATCATTCAGAGAAGTCAAACGAATTAAGATCAGTGCTATGCGTCGGTCAGGATACAGGACCTGTACGTTTAATCCACTGTCTGGGAAGATGTTTGTCTATATCACACATTGTGAATGTAATAATACTACTGACCTATGACTCTGTCACATTGACCTGCTTCTAAAAACTTCGACTAACTTCTAATAACTTGCCTGTACTTCAAATATGTCTAGTAAGATGTTCGTCTAAAAGCTCACGTATTGGTCAATGTAATAATACTACTGACCTATGACTTTGCCGCATTGACCTGCTTCTCAAAATTTCGACTAACTCTAATAATTTGCCTGTACTTCAAATATGTCTAGGAAGATGTTCGTCTAAAAACTCACGTATTGGTCAATGTAATAATACTACTGACCTGTGACTCTGCCACATTGACCTGCTTCTATAAACTTCGACAAACTTCTAATAACTTGCCTGTATTTTTCAAATACGTTTTTCTTGCAAACGGAGGTCTTTTGGACCACCAAACATTTACTTGGTTTTTTTGTTATATATTGCCCTATCATTTCCTGCAAGCTTGCTACTTATTCCAGAAACACCCTGTATATGCCTACATATATTTATATACACAACTAATTGTATTTAGGCATCTGCAAATAATACAGTAATATAATATACGTATGTATAACGAATAATATTTGTATGTATTTTTTAATTTTTATTTTGATAAACCCTTTATTGTTTAGTTACCAATTTGATGTCATTCTGTAATTAATAGGTAATTGTATTCGAAGAAGTTGTCACATTTAATTTTAATTGCCTTAATATTTTTGTTATAGACAGCTCTCCTAAAACGTGAGACTTGCTTTGATAGGGCCCACATAGGAAGTGGGCGATACACGTATCCTCAAATACAATTTTTATTGTAGTAATTAGGGGTGAGTCACTTACTTCATTTATTTCCTTTCCGCGTGTTCTAATTCATTTTTTAAATTGAAATTCACGAAAATAAATGAATTTTTTAACCACAAGTTAAATTCTCGTTAAATTAGCCTTCCTCTTCCTCCTTGTTACAAGCAGCAAGAAAAAACAGTTTTTACTAAATCGAACTCTGATAAACATACTCCAAAAAATCAAAATCCATATCTGTCTTCTTGCAATCACAATTTTGTTTTCACATTTTC